CCGGAGGCCTTACAGAGCATCGTGAGCCTGCGTCTCGTTCTGTCTCGCCTATTCGCACTGCTCGTCGCACTCCTCGTTTGCGTCCTCAAACTTTCCCAGGCACGCACGCTATGGCACTCCGTCCTTCCTCTGTTCCACTGCGTGTTCCCTGCCTGCTCCTCCTGAGTCCTCTCTTCCTGAGGTCCCTGACCCTGAGTCTGACCGAGCGCATGCTGCCAGTCCCACTGTTGCTTGCCTCCTTGCCACTGTTGTCACAGACCCGTCCTTTGAGTCTGCTGCTGCGTCTGCTCTCGTTGCTGAGCTGCTTGACTTTGCTGCTGCCTGCCGTCTCGACTCCGCCTCTGCTCTAGTTGCTGAGTCTGTGCCTACCAGTCCTCCATCCGTCGGGGGTGAGTGTGCTCTTGGCACGGACGTCCTTGAGGACAGGCAGGAGGACTTTGAGTGTCTTGCAGCTGCTGTACCTCGTTTCGCTTCCATGCTGCTTGCCCCTGAGGGAGACCCGGATGCTCCATACATCCCGACCCTGCGCTCTTACGCAGAGGCGATTACGGGTCCTTACTCCTCTCAGTGGCAGGCAGCTATGGATGCCGAGATGGCATCCTGGAAGTCCACAGGCACCTACGTCGACGAGGTTCCCCCACCTGGGGCGAACATAGTCGATGGCATGTGGATTTTCAGGGTGAAGTGGCCGCCGGGTTCTCCGCCTGCCTTCAAGGCGCGTTACGTTGCTCGAGGCTTCAGCCAGCGACAGGGAGTTGACTACTTCAAGACTTTCTCCCCCACCCTGAAGATGACTACTCTTCGGGTGTTGCTGCACGTTGCTGCTCAGCGTGACTACGAGTTGCACTCCCTGGACTTCAATACAGCCTTCCTGCAGGGCAGCCTGCACGAGGAGATCTGGCTGCGCCGACCACCTGGTTTCACTGGGACGTTTCCTGCAGGTACTCAGTGGAGCCTCCGCCGGCCAGTCTACGGTCTCCGCCAGGCGCCTCGCGAGTGGCACGACACACTGAAGACTACACTTGCGGCTCTTGGGTTTGCTCCTTCTACAGCAGACCCATCGCTGTTTCTACGCACCGACATCTCGCTGCCGCCGTTCTACGTCCTAGTGTACGTCGACGACCTCGTCTTTGCCACGGCTGACACCGAGGCACTGACCCTTGTGAAGTCCGAGCTGCAGAAGAGACATACCTGCACTGACCTGGGTGAACTACGCAGCTATCTTGGCCTGCAGATCACCCGGGACAGAGCACGGCGCACCATCACACTGACTCAGTCACACATGGTGCACCAGGTCCTTCAGCGCTTCGGCTTCCAGTACTCCTCGCCACAGCTCACTCCTCTGTCTACCAGCCACTCGCTCTCAGCTCCACTTTCAGACGAGTCCGTAGAGCCGAGTGGTCCGTACCCAGAGCTTGTGGGTTGCCTCATGTACCTGATGACTTGCACACGACCTGACCTCGCGTACCCTCTCAGCCTTCTGGCTCGCTACGTGGCTCCCGGTAGGCACCGAAAGGTGCACTGGGATGCTGCGAAGAGGGTACTGCGTTACTTGTGCAGTACGTCGGGCATGGGGCTTGTGCTTGGAGGACGGGGTCCAGTTGTCCTCACTGGTCACGCAGACGCCTCCTGGGTTGATGACTCAGCTACGCAGCGGTCGTCACAGGGTTACACCTTCAGCCTTGGGTCCGGCTCGGTTTCTTGGCAGTCTACCCGCTCGTCTTCAGTTCTCAGCTCCAGATGTGAGGCTGGGATCTACGCCGGAGACATGGCTGCTCAGGAGCTACGCTAGCTCACCTACTTGCTGACCGACTTGGGAGAGCAGCCTCGTTCGCCTCCAGTTCTGTACGTAGACAACAAGGCCATGATAGCCTTGTGTCAAGAGCACAGACTGGAGCACTGAACGAAGCACATCGCTCTGCGATACTTCCTTGCTCGAGAGTTGCAGCAGCGTGGCCAGCTTCGTCTTGCGTACGTGGCCACTCGGGCCAACACTGCTAATGTCTTCACCAAGGCACTTCTGCCTAGTGATCGTCAGCGCTTTGCTACTGTGTTAGGTCTTGTGCCTACTTTACCTCACTTGCTTACTGCTTGACTCTGCTTGTACTGTGATCTTTATATATACCTGCATGCTTGCACTTGCTAGGGTATGATCACTGTATTGTTTGTTCTTTTTATATAACTCTGCATGTGAACTGGCCTTGTGGCCCTTTGCTTGTGCTCAGACTGTGTGGTGACTTTGTGATCCACCCTGAGCTTGCTTTGCTTTTCTTGACTGGTCTTGTGACCACTTGTTCTCCCCCACTTTGCCTATGGGGGTGTGTCAGAACATTATAGCTTATATATTTGTGTAGGCTGAAGTGGGGTAGCCCATAAGGGGTACAACCCAATTAGGGTTAGTACTTGTACCCAACTTCTGCTCAATGCATTCATTCTCGTTTTTTATTCTCACAAAGATCACCTCAGGAAGTTTTGCAGAGAGTGTGTTCCAGCAGAAATATTGACCTCAGGTCAAAGTGAATTTAAAATGACTGAGATTATTAAAACAAAGGCATACATATGTTTATATAACAATACAAAGGGAATACCAGTCGTCCTAGCTAGCCATGTATTCTGAGGGGTACACTCCCTTATTGCAGTGAAATCCAACCGTGCGACTCCAGACAGTTACGAACCTATTCCCGCCACAATCCTTGCTGCTGCAACTGCCCAATGCATTTTCTCCGACGGTCCAGATGCTGCTAACCATACACGACTCTTCATGTCCTGAAAACGCGGCGTGTTGCAACTTCAAGCTCCAACGCTGACATTCCTTCGTCTGGCGGTTTGTATCCCTCACCTTCGGCAATCACGACGAGGCCTCTTCCTGCTATTGCGTTTGTCGATGCCGTCGGCGTGCGACAATCCCTGCAGATGCCATCTGCGCTGGGGTCGTGTTGAGCTACTTCGCGCGGATGTGGGTGATGTGGCACACATGGCCTTCCGTTGGGGTGCTTCCACTCAGAGTGGTGGATGTGTTCGAAGCGGAGCGGAGCGAGGTCGATTATATCGTTCGAGTCGCCACTGCAGTCGTGGATGTCGAGATCGAGCATGTGCATGCCGTTCTCGGGGTGTGCTTGGCCGATCTGCCTGCGTGGCTTGTCAAGCGCAGCGTAGTGCAGGATGATATCGCGCGTTGCGGGATCGGTGCTGAGTTGCACCTCGCAATCCGTGAGCTGCGACGCAGAGAGGAGGTTAAACCTAAGATTTTGCATGATGAGCACGTCAATCAGCATCACGTGTGTGTTGCTGCCGTGCGCCTTGAGGACGACAATGCCTTGCGCACTTGCGCGCTGGCGGTCGTTGTTCGCCATGGTGATGTACGTATCCGTAGGGGTCGGGATGGCGTTGGATATGAAACGCGCGGAGCCCACCATGTGCTGCCTGTCATACTAAAACTGTTATAGTTTGTATTGTTTAGTCTAGGTGGTGTGCACCTTGGTTAGTGCTAGGGTTAGGTTTGCTATATCCACCCTTGTACTTGTTAAGAAGCTAGAGTAAATTAGGGTGAGGAGCCATGGCTTGAGTGGCTAGACATGAGTGTCGAGAGAGTGATGTCGATTAGGTGAGGAGGGGGGTTACAAGAGTGTCGAGTAAATATAGTTGTACCCTCTAGGGATAACCCCTACACAACCTAGAAACATATAAACATATAACTGTTTTGACACACCCCCATAGGTGAAGGAGGGGATAGCCAAACCGAACAGCAGTCACAAGACTGTTAGAATGCTAAGCTGCTGCAGCTATGTCACCCACCACCCACATCCCGTGAGCCTCCCCACCACTTCACACTCCCCCCCACAGCAGCAGGTGCGGCTGTGAGAGAGAGGAGGCAGGTTGGCGCTGGAGGTGCAACCTCCCCCTCACACCCTCCCCTCCCCTCACCCCAACTGCTGCACGTGCAGCAGGGAGAGGGAGGAGAAAAGGGGGGGAGGGGGGGGGGGGGGAGCGGGGTAGGGGCTGCGCATGGGGCTGCAGATGCGCGTGCAGAGGGCAGCAGGGCGCACGGGGCGCACAAGACAGCAGGGCGCGCGTGGCGTGCAGGGCTGCAGGGCGCGCGGGGCGCGCAGGACAGCAGAAAGGGCTGTAGCGGCCGCAGCAAGGACTGTAGCGGCAGCAGCAAGGGCTGTAGCAGCAGCAGCAAGGGCTGTAGCGGCAGCAGCAGGGGCTGTAGAGGCAGCAGCAAGGGCTGTAGCGGCAGCAGCAAGGGCTGTAGCGGCAACAGCAAAGGGCTGTAGCGGCAGCAGCAAGGGCTGTAGCGGCAACAGCAAGGGCTGTAGCGGCAGCAGCAGGGCAGCAGGGCAGCAGGGCAGCAGAGCGCGTGGGGCGCAGCAGGGCTGCAGGACGCGCGGGGCGCGCAGGGCTGCAGGGCGTGCAGGGCGCACAGGGCAGCAGGGCAGCAGGGCGCACAGGACTGCAGGGCAGCAGGGCACACAGGGCTGCAGGGCAGCAGGACGCGCGGGGCGCGCAGGGCGCGCAGGGCAGCAGGACAGCAGGGCGTGCGGGGCGCGCAGGGCTGCAGGGCGCGCAGGGCGCACAGGGCAGCAGGGCAGCAGGGCGCACAGGGCTGCAGGGCAGCAGGGCGCACAGGGCTGCAGGACAGCAGGGCGCGCGGGGCGCGCAGGGCTGCAGGGCGCACAGGGCAGCAGGACAGCAGGGCGCGCGGGGCGTAGTAAGGCTGCAGAGCGCGCGGGGCGCACAGGGCAGCAGGGCGCACAGGGCTGCAGTGCAGCAGGGCGCGCAGGGTACACAGGGCAGCAGGGCGCACAGGGCTGCAGGGCAGTAGGGCGCGCAGGGCTGCAGATCCCCTCCTGCCTCCCCCTGAACCTCCAAGTCCCCCCCCCCCCTCCCAACACAAAGTGCAGCAGGGAGAGAGAGAGGAGAAGGGGGGGGGGGGAGGGGGGGCTGATGCTGCAAATTCTCTCCCCCCCACTGTTGCTCCACTATCCGTCACCCCCCAGGGATGAAGGAGAAGGGGGGGGACGGGGGGGGTTGGTGTTGCAGATCCCCTCTCCCCCACTGCTGCACCCGCAGCAGGGGGAGGTAGGAGAAGGGGGGGGCGGGGGGGGCTGGTGCTGCAGATCCCCTCCCCCCCACTGCTGCTCCACAATCCTTCACCCCCCAGGGATGGAGGAGGAAGGGGGGGTGGGGGGGGCTGGTGCTGCAGATCCCCTCCTGCCTCCCCCTGAACCTCCAAGCTCCTCCCCCCCTCCCAACACAAGGTGCGGCAGGGAGAGAGAGAGAGGAGAAGGGGGGGCGGGGGGGGGGGGGCTGATGCTGCAAATCCCCTCCCCCTCACTGCTGCTCCACTATCCGTCACCCCCCAAAAATTAAGGAGAAGGGGGGGGACGGGGGGGGTTGGTGCTGCAGATCCCCTCCCCCCCACTGCTGCACACGCAGCAGGGGGAGGTAGGAGAAGGGGGGGGGCGGGGGGGGCTGGTGCTGCAGATCCCCTCCCCCCCACTGCTGCTCCACAATCCTTCACCCCCCAAAAATGGAGGAGAAAGGGGGGCTGGGGGGGGCTGGTGCTGCAGATCCCCTCCTGCCTCCCCCTGAACCTCCAAACTCCCTTCCCCCTCCCAACACAAAATACGGCAGGGAGAGTGAGAGGAGGCGTGGCGGCAGCAGCTGCTGCTGAGGCACATCTGCCACCCCCTCACACCCTCTCCCCCCCGTCCCCATGGAGGGGGGGGAGGGGGGCGGGGGGCGGAGCTGCGCGTGCGACTGTAGGGCACGTGGGCAGGAAGAACCCCCTCTTGCCACCCCCTTACCCACCATGATGCGACAGGGCACCGGGGCCGCGGTTAGGGGCGGCAGGTCGCGAGGGGCCATGGCTAGGGGCGACGGGGCCATGGCTAGGGACGGGGCCGGGCGCTGGGCAGGTACGGGGCCGGGCGCTGGGCGCGGAATGGGGCCGGGCGCAGGCTAGGTACGGGGCCGGGCGCCTGGGTTAGGACGGGGCCCGGGCGCTGGGCAGGTACGGGGCAGGCGCTGGGCTAGGTACGGGCCGGGCGCGGGCTGGATCGGGGCCAGGCGCTGGGCGAGGGACGGGGCCGGGCGCTGGGCGAAGGACGGGGCGGGCGCGGGCTAGGTACGGGCCGGGCGCGGGCTAGGTACGGGGCGGGCGCGGGCTAGGTACGGGGCCGGTCGCGGGCTAGGTACGGGCCGATCGCGGGCTAGGTACGGGCCGGTCGCGGGCGAGGTACGGGGCCGGGCGCTGGCAAGGGACGGGGCCAGGCGCGGGCTAGGAACGGGGCCGGGCGTGGGCTGGGTACAGGCCGGTCGCGGGCTAGGTACGGGCCGGTCGTGGGCTAGGTACGGGGCCGGGCTACGGGCGAGGAACGGGCCGGTCGCAGGCTAGGTACGGGCCGGGCTGCGAGCTAGGTACGGGGCCGGGCGCGGGGCCTAAGGGCCGACGGGGCCGGGCGCGAGCTAGGAACGGGGCCGGGCGCGGGGCGAGGGGCCGACGGGGCTGGGCGCGGGCTAGGAACGGGGCCGAGCGCGGGTCGAGGGGCCTACGGGGCCGGGGGCCGGAGCCTAGGGGCGACGCGCGACGGGCGACGGGCCGGGACCGGGTCCCTAGGGGCGACGGGGCCGAGGGGCGACGGGCCTAGGGGCGGACAGGGTCGGGGCCTAGGGGCGACGGGCACGAGCCTAATGTTGAGAGAAGGGCCACACGAGGGTGGCGCGTAGGGCAGCAGGTGGTGGGCCCCAAAGAGGTCGTAACAGCTCTTAATACCATGTTAAGAAGCTAGAGTAAATTTGGGTGAGGAGCCATGGCTTGAGTGGCTAGACATGAGTGTCGAGAGAGTGATGTCGATTAGGTGAGGAGGGGGGTTACAAGAGTGTCGAGTAAATCTAGTTGTACCCTCTAGGGATAACCCCTACACAACCTAGAAACATATAAACATATAACTGTTTTTACAGTACTTGCTCATTCTAGTCGTTCATTCTTCCAGTTCTATATTTGACATGGTATAGAGCTTAGTTCGTTCCCATGGGCCCACCTCCGCACGCCCCGTTCATTGCTCGATAGCCGCCCGTAGCGCCCCCGCCGCCCATGGTTCGATCGTTTTAGGGTTTCACATGCTAGCTCGCTCAGTAGCCGCCCGTTAGCCGCCCGTCCGCCGTCCGTTCGCTGTTCGTTCGCCCGCCCGTTCGCCGTCCGTTCGCTGTTCGTTCGCCGCCCGTTGCCCGTAGCTGACCTCGGCAGGTCCCGCGCCCCCCGCGGGCCTTCGTCCGTCCCGTAGTGCGGCCCCCCACGGGCCTTAGTTCGTCCCCTTAGCGCCCCCCCCCCCCCACGCGGCGCGCTCCCGTTCATCCTTAGCCACCCCCCTCCCCCCCCCCCCCCCTCGCGGGCGCTTCCGTTCGTCCTTAGCGCGGCCCCCCGCGGGCGCTTCCGTGTCGTCTCTTAGCGCGGCCCCCGCAGGCGCTCTCGTTTGTCCTGTAGCCCCCCCCCCCCGCAGGCCCTTACATGCATCCCGTCATACGCCTCCCCCCACCCCCTCCGCGCCCCCCCCCCCCTCGTTCGTCTCGTTAGCGCGTCCCCCTCCCCCCCCCTCCCGTGGCCCCTCTTTCGTCGCATCACCCGTCGCCCGTAGTGCCCGTCGCCCGAAGCGCCCGTCGCCCGTAGCGCCCGTCGCGCCCGTCGTCGCCCGTGACCCTATTTTTTCGCCCATTGCCCGTAGCACCCGTCGCCCGTAGCGCACACTCACGCAGCCGCGCCCAAGCGACCGCACACGCGTAGCCGCGCACACCCAGTCGCACGCGCCCCTTTCCTAGGCCGCTCGCGTCCGTTATCTTGGCCGCCCACGCCCTGCATGATTTATGAAGAATTATTAATTAATTAATAAAAAAAAGAGAGACTTAGCACCAGCCATTGCTATGAAGCTCCAGCATGCGCCAGCACCCGCGTTTAGCGCATCAGAAACAGCTTAGGCTACCTTTAGTCACGCCAGCACTAGCTTAGGTCGTACTGCCGCCTCTACTGGCCCCTACCCCTCCGTACTAGCGTGCCATGTTGATGTGGCGACAGCGGCAGCACCAGCAGTGGCCGCAGCAAGCAAGTGGCAGCAGCACCGGTGGCCGCGACAGTAGTGGCCGCGGCAGCAGCCATGGCCGCTAAGCAGCAGCAGCAGCAGAGCCAGCGGCAGCCTCCACCACGGGGCCCTGTCGGACCCGGACAGTTCACACACCAGTACGTGGGAGCTACAGATGGGGTTGAGACTTGTGTTCCCAATCTTGGTGCTTGCGTAGTTTCCAGTCCAGGCGCCTCAGTGGTTTCTTAGTGTGGGAGCTATGATACTACTAGTCTAGTACCAGCCTTTGTCGCTAGCTCGGGTGCGACCTCACCGATGCACAGCTTTCGTTCACCTTACACTTTGGAGCGTCCAGCTGTTCTTTCGCGACTACACCGACCTCATGCCACTGCACACTCCTGTCACTGTCGCCTTGGTCGACCCCTCTGTGGGATCTGTAGTTGCCCAGCACCACCATTCTCCCATGTCCGACGGCTCCCTCTGGGTTTCTCACAGGCTACTACACCCCCCTCGTTCTCTAGGAAACTTGGTGGGTGTCAGTCACCTCCACGACCTCGAAGTTGTCACCACTTTCCCTTTGGACGAGCCTGTTGCCTCCTCCACAGTCGGTGCCACTGGAGTGCCTCTGGCCACTTTCCACAGGGAGCCGGGCTCTAGTCTATACTCACTACACACTGGGTCCCACCACACTGGGTCAGGTCAGGTCAGGTCAGGTCAAATAGCTGCTGTGTCATGCGACTGTCGGTCCCTCACGCACCCGTCGGTCCTTTGGCTCCATCGACTAGGTTATCCGTCGTTCCCACGTCTTAGTAGGATGGTACGTCACTGTCTGGTCTCAGGTCTCCCAGAGTCGCTTGCCCCGCTTCCTCGCTCGCCTGCACTACTGTGCACTCCTTGCGTCGAGGGTCGGCAGCGCACTGCCTCGTCACTCCTCCTCGTTCCCCCCTAACACGGCTCCCTTCCAGACATTGCACTTGGACGTCTACGGCCCCTCCCCGGTCCGTGGCCCATGTCAGGAGCGCTACTTACTGATTGTGGTGGACGACTACACCACGGTATTTACCTTTACGACGGAAGGCCGACATGCCTACCATCCTCGAGCCGTGGCTACTAGTGAAGGGTGACGCCCTGGCCCTTTGTGGGCTCCGCCTGCACTCGGACCGTAGTGGTGAGTTTTCTTCCACTCGCATGGAGACGTTCTGTCAGGGTTGGGGGATCATCCAGTCTTATACGCTACCAGAATCGCCGCAACAGAACGGGGTAGCCTGAGCGACGCATCGGCCTGGTCATGGAGGTTGCCCGGACCTCCATGTTCCATGTCGGTACCCCCCAGTTCCTGTGGCTCAGGCAGTCCGATACGCCGCCGCACCAGCTGAACCTGTGGTCTAGTGACACATAGCCACGGGTGACGCCGGTCTCCCTTTTGACTGGTTCACCGGGGTGTAGCAGCTGACTATGCGTTAGGGTTTTCCCTGGCCCACAAGCTGTTCTCTGCGCACTCGTGCCTGCGTCTTCTCTTGGCTTTCCACTCGACACCTCCGGCTGGCAGTTCTACGACCCGGTACTTGTCAGTTCTTCAGTTCCCCCAGGACGTCACTTCTGACGACTCGGTTAGTTACTACAGGAGTCGCCCACACCGAGGTTCTGAGGCCATTTCCCCCACGCTGTTCCTCACCCTTGAGCCCCCCCCCAGTCGCCCCGGTAGCCCCACCCCCTTCGCGTCTTGCCCATCAGGTGTGTCGCACGTCACTCCGCAGTCGTCCCCCCCGCAAGCGTTCCAGCCCCTGTCGTGTCGGGGGGTGCATGAGGTGCAAGTTTGCGGAGGGTGAGGGTACTGAGGCTTGCTGGAGCCCGTGGTGCAGGCTCTTTGGGGGTGCAGGGGGTGTGAGAGAGGAGGCCATTCCTGAGGAGGACACGGCTGTCTTGACTCAGCGGCACTTGCCCCGACTCCCTTCTGTTCCGCTTCCCTCCTCTTGTCTGTTCCGCGGTTCCCTCCTCGTTCGCCGCGGCCAGTTGCTGCGGAGTTGGGGGTTTCTTCGGAGGCACTGGAGTCCTGGGGGTGTTGTCGGTGGAGGTTCTGGTTTTGGGGGTGCTGGAGCTGGAGACACGAGCATTGCGACGCCTACGCCGCGCAGTGTGCGTTTCTTGACCGTGTGCAGCGTTTAGACAGGTTGGAGAGGGAGGAGCGGGAGCGCTTTGAGAGGGCACGACAGCAACAGCAACAGCAACAACAGTCTCAGTCGGAGCGTTAGGAGAGAGTAGAGGAGTCACTGCTGCACCAGGAGAGAGTAGAGGAGGAGTCACGGCAGCAGCAATAGCAGCAGCAACACCACCACCACCACCACCACCACCACCAGCACCAGCAGAGCACCAGAACCAGTCTCAGTCGGAGCGTCAGGAGAGAGAGTAGAGCAGGAGTCACGACTACTGCAATGGGTGCAGTTGCAGCCATAGCAGGAGAGAGTAGAGCAGGAGTCTCGCCCGCAGCAGCAGGTGAAATTGAAGCCACAGCAGGGAGAGAGTAGAGATGGAGTCCCGCCACAGCAGCAGCAGGTGCAGTTGCGGCCGCAGCAGGATAGGGTAGAGCAGGAGTCCCGGCTGCCGCAGCAAGTGTTGTTGCAGCCACAACTGGAGAGAGCAGAGGAGGAGCCACAGGAGCAGCAATGGGGGCAGGTGTCGCAGTAGCAATTGCCAGAGGAGGCGGAGCAGCACCTTCTGAGAGACCTGCCCGACTCAGTGTTATAGTCACAATAGCCTTGAATGTGCCTAAAACGAAAGATAGAGTGCACAGTCGGATTTCTGCACAGCGGCTTCAAGCGTTGATAGCATTCAGCTCACGGCTTTAAATGACTTGCTATAAATTGGATCTGGAGCGTCTTGATGTTGCCTA